TTATTGAGTATTCGGAAAATTTCTAATACCATTCTTGTTTGTATTATTCGAGAATGTATTATGAGAATAACATTTTATGCCGAATTTTATAAATTATTTTCATCAAAAATATCGCTAATTTAATTAATTGAATTAATTTAAAATCAACTAAGACTGCGACTCATATTATATTCGATAAAAAAAATATAAGATAAAATAAAAAGTTCCAGTTCACAGCCACATTGTTAATAAATACAAGCTTAAAGCGATTTTATAACGCCCGAAAGTAGGCAAAATATGCGATAACATTTCGTCCGACACTTTTAACATTTTATATGATACAAAACTTTGTGCAGCATCATATATTGCATTGCAATAAATTGTTTTACATAAATACATAGTTAAACTATGGTATTTTCGTATAAAATAAAGAACGAATGAACGATAAAACGAATAATAGATATTTCTGGAATTAAAGAACGATCCGAGGTCAGTTATTTTGTTATTAAGTCGTTGTTTAATCATTTTTAACTTAGATTAATTGGACTCTTTTCAGATAACTGAAACTCTGCTGCAGTATTACCAGTATGAACAATTATAATTTTTTTCCCCTTTCCTGTATCGGATTTCAAACTTTTGCACAACTATATTAAAAAAAGACATAATATGACCAAACTTAATCCATGCGACCTTTACGACTATTTCGTCCTTTTTTATTTGATAAAAAAAAACTGGAGCATTCACGCAAATACACGAAAAATAGAAAATTTCAATGTCACCCCATTAACCTACTAACCCAATAAATGAATCAATACCAAGCGCCGCTGTGCTTCGTTTCCACATTTTCCTTATAAAAAATGCACTGCACACTCGCTTCGGTCTTAAGTACATGGATTTTATTAGGATGCCCCATTTTATAACTTTCATTTTATGTAGTGTTACTCAACGAAAAGCACATGGAACAACGGATTTCGTTACTTGTTTATGTCGCATGAAATAGGTTGCAATGCGTTCGTCGCAAAATGCTCTATTGAATTTGATAACGTGAAAAATTACTTTTTCATGGCAATACTTGGACTGAATTTCTCCTGTTGCATTTCTAAGTTAAGACGCCTTGACGTCGTTGAACGTTTTCGATGTTTGAAAATAAATATAAATTTTTATGATTTTTTTTCTTGCAAATATTTTAACATTCAATTGAAACTTGATGGAATTTATTGGTCAAATTAAATCATTGCACGGTAGCAAAGAACGAAATAAAGCAATATTACGACGACAACGACAAAGATTAAGTATTGCTTGAATTTTATGGGGTTTGAACGTCATATGTCGTAAATATGTGCTCATCAAATGTTTAAAGGCGGCGTATGTAATATAAATAAATCATTTTGGAGTGGTTTGATATACACAAATTTTGTGTCACAAAAGCAATATGCGCTTTTATAAATTTGTTTGATGTAAGGATTTTTGTATTTTCGCTGCGTTCATTCAATGTCTTAATGATATATATTCGTCTTATTTGCCACACGATAAATGGATGACGGTTCACAGCCGAATACAATTATAACAAATTCACACATGTAGAAATGAAAGGGGAAAATACAACGAAACTGATGAACAGTAAAACACTAAATACGATGCGATTCGAGAAGAAAATATTTTTTCTTTTGCTGTAATAAATGTTCTTGGGCCTTCTCCAAAATATAAGCAGCAATTAAAATTCTCAAATTCCAATGTGGGGACAAAAAATAAATAGTGCATCTAGGCACAAAATGACATTAAAACATCAAAACAAAGAACCTCGAATCGCACATTTATTTTTCTTAATGATTTACTGCTTCATGTCATTGCTGGTGCAACAATGCACATCAAGATTTCAGATTGGATAAATTATTATGAGCTATGCCAAGATTTGCATAAATCTCAAAATGGAAAATAGAATATTAATTGGGATTATTGAGTGGAATAAAAAATACCATCGAAATGAATTAACCTATTAAATAAATAAAACATTCATCTATTTCGAAATATTATGCAATCTGCTGTCACAATGTCCAGAATAAATAAGTTCGTTCAAATACTAAAAGCGTATCATTAATCGAATACACAAGACATTGATCAAACGCTCTTCAATTTGTAGATAAAGCAGATAAGATTTGAATTGAGCAAAATATACAGGGCATGGATAATTTTTACCAATTTGAATTTATCATGATAAATAAACGAATATTTTTAATTATTTGATAACAACAATATTTAAGTAGAATAACATTATGAAAGGGAGGGTTAAGAGAATGAAACTCATTTTTGCAATGAAAGAAGATGTGATGACCTGAAAAAAAATATATATATTCATATATACATTGACAGTAACGTCAGGCTATGCCAGGCTTGAAAATACATTCAACGTAAATCAACCTTTACTACTCTCCGCTATGTTATTACTTCCTTGAATATATTTGCTACATAACAAACAGCACCACATTTTTTTTGTATGCATTCATTTTTATTCATACATATACATAATATGTGATGCACGGTCTACTCACATGCACTGTACATGCCGCCATAAACGATGTAGAATATTTGCTCGAAAGAGAATAACTCACAACGCTAACGAATTTGTAATAAATGAAAATAAAAATTGAGCTGCGTCAATGAGAGACGTATATGTGTGAGTGTCGATGACGCAATACAAAACTGCAAAACAGTATTCGAATAACAGTGCAAACCTTTCTATTCACTTCTTCATACAATATACGTACTGTCTCTCTAGTAGTATGGTAGAAAAAATAAAACGCAATGGTTGTAATTATATGGTTGTTTTATATGTATTCGCTAAAAATCACGAAAAACAGAGAATAAACGAACTCATATAAATATGAGCGTTGTTCATCGTCAGAGTTAGAAGAATCGTAAAATGCCACACTGACTCTAAAGAGAATTAAATACAACGTCCGCTTCCATTCATTACACTGTCTCCATTTCGAGTGTAAATACGTATAATGCAAAAGCACGCAATAATGGAACATACAAGCGACAGTGAAACGATAAAAACTGACAACAGAACTAAACTTTCGTTTGTATTGCTCATTTCCCTTGAATTTGTACCGAATGTCAGTGTTTTTACTATCAACAAATTATTATTCGAATTGAATGGGGCAAAGTGCAAACACTACTGAATTAAACAGCCGACATAATATTTTGAGTAAATTCATTTCATTCAATCAAAATAGTGGTTATATATCTAGATCCGTTGTGTCGTTGTTGTTTATGTTTGACTCTAATGACAAGTAAAATCAATTATTTTTTACAACACCATTACACCTCTGATGTTGTTGTTGTTTCTTTTTTGTTTTAATAAATTTGTTTTTATAATAATTATTTGACGTGTCATAGAATAAATGTGCAGGGCAATCGGAACACACAATATATTGGGTGTATGCATTAAAAAAGGGAATTTTTTTGGTAGAAAAGAATGCTTTACTTAAATAAAATTGCAAGAAAATCTTATTGAAAGTATTGTCCATCGCTAGCCACTACTTTTGTCCATATTTTAGTTAAAAGACGAAAATCGGGTCGAAATGATTCTTCGTCCTTTGAGGTTATGTATTCATTGACCCTTTTTTGGGCTATTCCATAAATAGAGAGCTGCCAATCAGGCACACGACATTTAATCGATCCAAGTGGGTACAATTCTGAAAGGGCAATGTCTATTGATCATACCGGGGAGTAAAAGACGCTTCTCTCCAACTGCGCTCATCTTATTCTGGACCAGGTGTGCAAAAAGTCAGAAAAAATTTGCTTTTTTTCGTTTCTTTTACTTTCGAAACGGACTAAAATCGACTAATTATTATTGGCAGACACCATTTCTATCATATCAGATAAGTTTCAGCATTTTTTGATGCACAGTATTCTTCCGACTGGATCGAATATTTAAAAAGTCCCCAAAATTGAGGGGTAGTTTCCCCCCAGCCGATTTTTTATGGTTGGCTTGAATCGATTTTTTTCTTTTTTGCTCTAAGCTATTGAGAAAGGTCCATTCTACACTATCAGTGACAACACTGTGCTCGAATAACATTTTTATCCATTTTGTGGCATTATCATTTTTGCCCCCCGCGAATTATGTTTTTTTCTCCAACTTTCAAAATTTTCCATCGTTGAAAAAAATATGATGCGCACAAACAAATGAAACACTCTTGACTGATTTTGACAATATTTGAATAGGCCTTTCAAATGACGTATCTGTCATTGATCTACTACAACGCAATCGCAAGTGGTGACATCTATTCTAATTTCCTTTTTTAATGCATTCACCCAATATGATACTTTTATACCTTTCTGGAATATTTTAAGATTTTTCGAATTGAATTCATTCATCAACTTGCAAATCATAATTTACTGTATGTTTGGCAAACAATTTTGACATATTTAAAAGTCGACCAAGCAAAAAAAAAAAAAATGATTGAAATCGTTGAAAAAGGTTTAATTGCCCATATTTCACCAAAAATGCGAAGACTAGATGGATTTGGGTGATGTCTTTTGCCATTATAAATGTGATATAGTATTTGCCACAAAAAAGTTGAATTAATTCGAATTTATATATGTTTGTAAACAGAGCCTGTCTGAACATTTTGACATTCCATAGTGAAATTTCGTGATGCGATTGCTTAATAATGAAGCGCATTTTTGAGACTTTTGTAATCGTAAATTCAATAGATGTTTTTTTATTTTATCAAAAAGTTTTTGGTCTCTTTTGGTATATCGTAAATATTTCGGTTGTTTTTTTCGTTAAAATAGAATCAGCCAATTTTTGGCGATGTATTATTATTAAAAAAATCAATATTTTCATGGATGAAAATCTTGACAGAACGAAACAGATAAATTTATCGTAAGAATCATCAAAATTTATGGCTCTTGGCTCATTAGGTGTGAATTGTAGTTGACAGCAATGCAACAGCCCTTATATGTTGTTCGAATTGTTTAATAATAATAATGATGCAAAAGTGTGTAATAAATACCTTGGGATGCTTCATCTTCGTCGTTGTCGTCGTTTTCATTTTCCATGACACCTTCAACATCTTCGAATGAATGCCTTTGAAGAACTGAAGTTGAGCTTCTCTTTAGAATATGGTCATTTCCGTTATTGTCGTCATCGTCATCTCCAATATTATTATTGTCGATTGAAGTACCTCCGCCACTGTCATCGATACATGCTGTAGCTGTTGATGCATCGCGCTCTGAAACAATCGTTCGTTGCACATACGGCAAACCATTCGTTTCAAATATCACGTATGGTGTGCTACAAGAAGTTGTACACGAGGAAGTTGAACATGAGGTGCTTGATAGTGAAGAAGAAATATTAAAATCATTTCGACTACATTGGACGTTGGATAAAAAAAAGGTTGCTGTCTACAGAAGACATATTTGATTGTAATGGGTATATGATGCTTAAGTTACCTTAAGGTTTGCTGTTCACCCGATGTAACTGTAAGTGTATCGTCTCCATTGCATACGATTATATCAGCATTTGTATCTTCAATTAAAATTGTATTGTTGTTCGATTGCAGCTGATTAATGGTGGATGTGGTAACAATCGGTGTAGCTGTACTGAAGAAGTATTGTGTTGTTGTGTGTGGACTATCGGATGCATCCAAGTTAAGCTTTACTGAATCCCCTAGTATACTATCAATTTGACTGTTTGTATCAGTTATAAGGTGCTCACTACCGCTAGCAATAACATTACCAACACCACTTCCACCGACAATACTGACATTGTTCACTGTTGTCGATGCTGCCGTACTTAAGCTTACATTGCTTAGAACGACAATCGTTGAATTTGGGTGAATTTTATGATCTTCGTGCATTGTTTTTCTCATTTTGATTTGATGATCTAAGATGAATCACAGATTAAAGCAGATATTAAATAATTTCCTTTTTTTATCGTCCGGAGACGGTATTTGTCACCTTTGTACTTTTAATATAAATTTAACACTTTACACTTTCTCAGAGATTATTCAATTCATTGTATGTATTTTTTGTATTTTTTTATAGTTGTTATTATTATTCTTATTATTTATGTAGAGTGACAGCTCCATTTGTTTGTTGTCGTTGTAACAGGAAAACCAAAAATCGGCGACGAGAGATTTCAATTCAGATTAATTATTGAATTTCGTTTTTGCTGTTTCTCTTTGTAGTTTTTTTTATTAAGTTTACATGATTCCACAATCTAAGTTCAATTGAACTAAATTCTTTTTCAGTTCAACCATTGCATCATGTTGTTGTAGTTGGGGGTTTCTTCGCTCTTTGTGACTTTGCGTGTGGGTGTGTGTATTTGTAGTACACACAAGCACTGATACTGTTGAAAATATGAATAGGATAAGCTTTCAAAACGATTCAATTCCTTTTTTTATTGAATCAGTGTATATTTGTGATAAGTTGGTGTTTTGATTTGGTATTTTAATGTACACGCAAAAATGTGTCGAGATGCTGGCGTGATATTTATTCCCCTTGTTCTCTTTCCCTCGTTGTTTGTTGATACTTAATATTAGGTAGCTGGCTGACTGTTACCTATTTTTTTTAGTTTTCTACCACTTTCGTTACAACTATCCTTACATCAAATTATATACAATCCCGCTAAAAGCGAATCACAGATACTAGACACACACAACTGATGGAAGAGAGATTAAGTTGAACTACACCAGAACACCAGAAATCCAATTGACAAGTACGCGTGTTGCTCTTGCACTCTCGACTGGTTGGAGCTTCAAATTTTCAAGTTTCTCGCCTTCGAATGTATTCGCGTCGCTGCGATATATACTTATTCTTTGTTATATTGGTACGCATATATAAATATATATTATATACATATATCCGTCTGAGTGCGAATACTGACGATTTGGGATCGAATGTGGACGATCCATGTGCACATCATCATTCACAGCAGCAGCAGCAGCAACAACAGCAACCACAACGGCAGAGCATGTACAGCATGTCGACTAGATGCTCCTCTTTTTTCTATATACTAAAATTCTCTGAGTTTTCTTGTATATAGTGTGTGTGTGTGTGTGTGTGTGTGTGTGTGTGTATATATACAAGGAGAGAATAGAGCGAACCTGAAACTAAATATATCAGTTTGAATCAAATGGCAACGGAGGCGAACTTATTTAATATTTATGGTAAATTCGTACACACTGCTGACACACTAGAAGAGACTTTGTGAACGGATTTGAAATTTCTTCTCATGAGTGTTCACGTTACAATATGTAGTGCAATGTCGCTACCGCAGTTTCACTGTCTGTGGTCGTAGTTATATTATCGTTTTCGCGTTCTTCTTGCATTGAGACTATCGTTATAGGATGACTTATTTTTGTATCGTTTCACCTTGTCTTCTCAATTCACAAGCTATCACTTTTGAAGTGATGTTTTTTTTTATTTTCAACGGTGATAAGAGTTTCGGACATTTGAATGTTTTGACTGTTTTGAGCATCCGACTTATGTTTTTCATTTGTAAAGTGCGCTAATTTGATGTATTTCTTCTAACGTGCTATTATCACTATATTATTGAATCATTAGTTTCAGTACCATTCGAAACACACTTGAATATTGATGAGATGCAATTAGTTATAGTTGAATGGTAACGATTATGTCCATTTTATTCAAGAGATTAGAAATCTAAAGTATAAGTCACCACAAGTTTCAATTATTTGGAAACTCTTTATTTTGCGTATAAATTTTTCTTTTGTATAAACTGTTATCGTTGTTTTTTTCACTAATTTTACAATTCTACGATGTCGATTGCGCATAAGCCTCCCATCCGTTGATCCCATATAAATGTAACCTGCAAAAATTCAATTGATATTCAAGTTTAGATTTGTTATTATGATCTACATATTTGATTAAAAAAAAAAGAAATTAGCTTATATTCAAAATTTTGTAGGTCGTGTGAAGAAGTAATATGTCAGTGGCATATATTACTGGTACGTATTGTGACGAAATCGTTACTTCATCGTTAGTATATATGAACATAGACCTGATCTAATATTGACCATAAATACACGTAAAAATTCGTGACACACTACATATATTGTGGTATGAACAACGCAACACAATACTGCTTAAGCCAACGCAAGACCAAAGTAAGCGAGACACAACAAACGGCAGAACATACTTGAATTTTTACGTTATATCGATGTATGTGTTAAAACTCCATATCCACGAAGAGAAAAAATACTATTTATTTATATTTTTGATTGTGTTATTTTTTCTTTGATGTGTTCTTTTTTTTAATGAACTCAAGTTCTCACCACTACTTTTGCATATATTTGTTTATTCTTATTTCACTGGTCCACAGATTTGACTAGCCCAATGAATTGTTATGAATTCTAAGAAAATTGAGGAGCTACGCATGGGCTGTGTTGTTAGCTAAACTCAACAGACTTATACGCATTTATATGTACGTTCAACAATGATTGATCATAGCCCATGCAGCCGACGACTTATTATTACTCATTCATATACACTGAAAACGAATTACAATTTATAAAAGGAAAATTGGCATGAATGAAAGGGAACGCAAAAACCGTCTCATCCAAAATGTATTTGAATGAGAGCGAGAGTGCGAGCGCGAGCAACTGTTTCGAGCTGTATTCCATCCATAAAACTGGTATATTGTTATTCTTTTTTTAAATTCTTATTCTTATTCTGTTGTGTGTATACTCTTCGTTGTCATGATATTGGCGTCTTTTTCATGCTGTCTAAAACGCCCGTTCAATCAAATGATGGTTTGCCATTTTTGTCTCTCTTTTGCTCACTACTATGCTATTTTTATTGCTTTTGAATCGCGCATACATTTTTGCTGTTTTTGTTTCAGTATTGAGTTCGAAATCCCAGACTCTTCTTGACAATGTAATGTCAGATGTGTTCTGTATATTACTTTGTTTGCTAGAGAAACATTCATGAAATGTAAACAACAACAAAACAGCGAATGTGTTGTGCATTTTTTTTGACTACTCTATTTTCTCTAAATGTCCAACGAATTCTGTAAATTGTGATGTATTTTACCATTTTATCAAAATTTTGTGCATATCTTAAGCCTTTTTGGTAAACATTTAATCACGTAACAAAATAACCTCGAGATTAGCAAAATTTAATGATATTTTCATTTTGCCAGTTTGGAATTTATAAAAATAAATATACTTTTACGGAGTTGACGGATTTACAATGAATGATAGGAATTGTTGCACATGCAGATCGGCATTGCATAAAAATTAATTTTGTATTGTTTTTGGATGCATGTTCAAAATTATACACATGTCAAAATTGTTATAATCTAATCTTATGGATATACTCGATTTTGTGTGTAATTTACTAAAGACTTTATTAAAAAAGGTGTACTTGAACATTTTTTTTTGTTGTAAACCCATATAATATGCAAAGTGCGCAGTCTTTGATGTCCAATTTCAGACAGTCTCATATCAAAGCGAAAAAAGACGTTTTTTCATATTTATATAAATTACAACAATAAATCTATATAAAACGAACGTCTAGTTTCGCTTTGATGTGAATCTGTTGAATATTCTGTTTTTATTCTAAAGCATTCAATTTATATATTGACAGCTCTTGATTGAATTTTCAATATTAATTTTTAAAAAGCTCATGTTTTTAGTATTCACACATGATTTTTACTGTAGAAAATCTACTTCTTTTAAATAGCATTTATCGAAATTCCTTTAATTTTTGACGACAAATTAATTTTTTTGAATACAAAGTTATAACCGGAAAATGAAACTTCTCTTTTATCGGATTTTTAAGAGCATAAATATGTTTTTCTCAATAAATAACAACTTTATCGACGAAGATTTTCAAGAGACAAAGGCACTCGTAGACCTGATCGCAGATCTTGCATACAGAGAGAAAATCCAAAAAACATTATATCACTCGTCTTGATTCTTTTCTTCTCCACGTTCGTCACTACTCAATGTAGACACATACAATACGCGAGAATTCATCCTAATATGTATATGATGTAAATCGTTCGTTCGTTGTACGTGGAGGATACAAATGGCAAAAGTGATAGTTTATTTATTCACGCACACTCTAAAAACAGAAACACACACACACAGAGAGAGAGAGAGAGAGACAGAGAAAGATAAGGAGATTGGAATAGAATAAGAGGGACGGATGGAGGACAGACAATAAAAAATGCCCACTAAAAGGATAAATATAATGAATGCCGAAATTGAAGTAAATCGATGATGATACTTATGCTGATGAAATAAAGACTGTAAGACATTTCTGCCATACTGTTGGCAGTATTGTTGTTGCTGTTGTCTAAGATTATATTTTTAAACACTTGATAATGTTTTGATGTATTTCTTCTATGAATCGTTGTATATATTCAAATGTGTGCAGGTAAAAATGTTTTATTGCCAATAATGTTTTGTTCTTATTAACATATCAATCTTATTTTTTTAGCTGTTTTATGTATTGAGGTGGTGTGCTTGAACAATCCTGATTCATATTTTCTGCGTTCACTCTCTTTTTCAAGGAATAGAAACGAAATCATTAGCACTTGAATGTTAAATCCTCTTTCCGATTTACTTGCGTCCTCACCATATTAGCCAAATTTGTCGACTTCTGTTAGGAAATTGATGTATAGCCGGTTAGAGATTTTTTTTTATAACGAGACACCACTATTCTGTTTGTGTTGATAAATAACAACATTGATGTAACCAATTTAGTCGTATAGAATACATATATGTGAAGTCGAATACACCTTTAGCATTCATTCGTTCATTACACAACGTACCACTACGTTTAACGCGTATAACGATATGCTCTTGAATGTTTCTCTACAAATCTTCCACTTCGAAGACGATAAATATGGATTTTTACTGCTTTATTTGTGTGTATCGTGCGCCCTTGCTTGTTGAGTTAATATATCTTTTTTGGTGGTTGTTATCGTCGGGTTTCTTTCTGCTATAATATTTTTTTTTAGTTATGACTCTGTGTTTCGTTGTGTTATTGTTTTTATTGTTGTTGTTGCTTTTTTATTAATGTATTATGTGCGATAGGTTAGAATATTCGATTAGACATATGAATCGTTGCGGCGAAAGAGTAGCTCTTATTTTTCTCCAAATAATACTGCAACATAATTTTTTTTATGAATAGTTTATTTGTTGTATTACAACAAATAAACCGTGTGAAAAAAACTTCATGTTGCAGTATTATTTGGAGAAAAATAAGAGCTACTCTTTCGCCGCAACGATTCATATTCATGTAACTCGAATAATCAAAACAAGTACACATGCTCACGCACAATTTTCTTTATACGTAAAATAGTTGTGTCACGAATAGAAGCCAACTTTTATTTTCATTGGACCATTTGAATAAAAATAAAAAACAAACAAACAAACCGATTCTTCATATATACACACACATAACAATTGGTCTTAACATTGAATCTTGATCAATATATCCGACCTCCACAACTGACACTATGTTAGATGAACAAAAAATCAAATAAGAAAACTAAAAACGCGTGCGACTTAGCTTAAACAAAAAAAAAAGCTTTTGGAAAAATCCCAATCAAATATTTTTAACACTCACAACATGGATCAAATGTCAGTTCCGCTCAACACATTGACAACATTTTTTATTGCCTTGAAAATTTTCACTTGATTTTCATAATAATTAATGTCAATTCAAAGTCTTTTTGTCATCTTGCAACGATCCGAAATTATATGTGATATTTCCACTGTTCATTATTATTTTTAACTGATAAATTGATTGTATTTGCTCGATTTTAATGGTATTTTAGCTCACCAAAATTTATATGTTTATAATTCTTTTTCTTTTTTTCCTCTCAATTGGTATTTTTGTGAAAATGAAAATCAAAAGTTTGTGTGTCAAAATGTAGATATAGGTCTGTAGGCCACTTACACTCCGTGTATTCGAGTATAAATCAGACAAAACTACATGACACAATCGTCGTATCGTATATTCGTTCGTCGCATTTTTGCTTGAATACGATTGTGTTTTTACAGACACACATAGATTTAGAACGTTGCTAACATTGTATACGTATTTGTGTGCATGTATGTACGTATTTATGTATATATATACATGTATATGTAAGAGTGTATGTCTTTATTATTGTGTCCGTGTGCACGTTTGTGAGCGCGCGTTAGCATCCACTGTTGTTAGATTACTCATATGTATTCCAATTCAATGGTAGGATTGTTCTATTTCTTCTCCGTTGCCTGAAAGGCACAGCAGCAGGCATAAGAATGTGGATGTATGCGCTAGTTATACACAACGACAACAGACACAATAAAAGGGAGCTCAGGGAATATAATATTAGCATTCATACTACATGAACGTACGGGCCTCTATTGTATACATTGCATGTACAAGTATGCATAACACGACGATTCTAATTCGACTGATATCACGAGTCAGAATGAGACAAAATACATATGAAAAAAAAAACGAAGACGCACGATCGAAAGAAATATTTGACGAAATGAACAACAAAAGCAACGACAACGACAACGTTTCTGACCAGCAGCAACACCAAGAATATATAGGTTGTCGTATAACACCACGGTGGGGTCTGTATTTGCACTAATTCTGTTTTGTTTCGTTGTGTTTTTCTCATATTCTTCCTTCAGTTTATTCTATTTCATTCTCAATCGAACTGGTTATTCGTTTTCGTTTCGTTTTCTGGTTGAATTATGATTTTATATATGCTTTGTATACAAATACATTCGATATTATTACGATGTTGTTCTGGTTTTCTGGCATTGTCACCGTCAGCCAACGCTAAACTTGGCATAAAACGTATTTAAGTTGTACTACTGCTGCTGCTACTGTTACTGATTTTCTTGTTATTATGTTATTTTGTGATGCATTTCAAATGTTTGATACCTATTTCGACCTCTTTGCTAATATTTTTTTAAATATCTATGTATAAATTTATTCTGATTTGATTCTTTGTAAGATTTTTTGCAATATTTTCTTAAAAATTCATAGGCTAGCTGTTAGATAAACTTTACCTTCATTAGTTATCAGAAAGCATATAACAAAATTCCAATTAGTCAGACTATTTTTTTTAAATGGTATTAGTGGTTTGTAAAAAAATACTTTGAATTCGCTAACAGACTCAAAGGCTCATGCATACAATACATTTTTGAATGATTTGAAATTGGTTTTAGTCTATAGACCGATTCAAATTCGATATTTTGGCATGTATGATGTTTTGGCATACATAGGGTTTCTGAAAATGTATTTGAACGACGCCTGTGTTTTGTATGCACACAGAAGTGTTAAAACCGAAGAACGGAAATAGATTTCGGTTTTCTACTTTGAATTTAAAAGTCATTTCGATGAATGTTGGTCAAGTTGAATGCTTTATGCTTCAGAATACGAAAACACGCTAAAACAGCAATGAATGAACAATATTTAAAAAAAAAACGAAACGTTGGACGATGTTTAGCATATTAATTTTAAGATGTGTTTGTGTTAACGCAATAATATATTGTTATGCGCAATTCGAATATATACTGCATACACTTGCATAGCTGCCGCCAACACAAAATGACACACTCAGCTTCAGCATTACATATGTATGTAAGTATATATACACACCATTCACAGCAAACAAAGGCTCAAATACATCTGAATACAAGTTTTTTGTAAATAAGCCATAATCGCATCGCAAATTTTTTCATATGTTGCTGATATCGCATGCGATCCATTGTATGATTATGTAATGCAAACTTATTTTTGAGAAACGTCGAAAAGTCCTCTATTATATTAGTATAATCTATAATACGTAGACAATCGAATGTTGGCTCCATAAAATTGCTATCTCCAAATTGTACATACAAGCTTCTTATTTTTAGAAAAGCTAATTCTAAATCTTATTGAATATTCTTCAGACAAATAGAATTTAAAATATGGCTGCCAAAAGCGCATAATAAAAAAATATATTTTTGAAGTTCTTTGTTGAATGGAACTTTTGAAGCTTTTCCATGTATAGTGCCCTCTATGGAAAATTCAATGAAGTAGACGCAATAAACTTTCACTATAAGCGAAATGAAAGAATCACCCATTGAAGACTCAAACCCACACATTTTTTTTATTAGAAAACGGTAACACTCCATCGGTCTTCTCTTTGGCTTGGTTGTGTAAGTTAGGTCGTCAGAATATTTAATTTTTTTTTTAATTTAGAATAAAAAAAAAATATTTATTTAGGTTTTTAAGAAAAACTGCCAACATAAAAAAGGGTGGTTACCCTGCCGCAATTACGTCGCGAATACGCCGCGGTAAAGTAAAATTCTATTTACTATAAGACCAGGATGGAGTGGACTAATTTGGTCCAAAGTCTAATGGTATCTATTCCTGAATATTCCAAACCATCCTATCAAAGTGCTGAAATATTTATTTATCGGAAAAAGTTTCAAATTATGTGAACATATAAAAAATATTTCCAGTTATTATAAATACCAATGATCAAACAATTAACGAGAAAATAATTTGATATCGAACCGTAGAAAACTTGATTGACACGGGAAAATTCAATGCAATTTCAACTCACAAATACGGAAAAATATTTAAAAAAAACGCACTTTAATTGCAAAACAGGAAATTATATATATTTAAACAAGTCAAAGCAAAGATTTTACAGGCTCAATGGTCGTATCTATAACCCTCTTTGAAACGGTGTACATTTTGTGACGACATTGTACAAACTCTGAACGGTAATCTGTAATGCACAAGGACCATCAATTGAACTAATTGATTAAATTTGTGACCGGACATGTTCACTGTATACTATAGTATGTTCGCAGTGTCATGTAAAACTGTTGCATTTGTGTTGACAGCATAAAAACCAATGAGCATTGGTTACCAGATCTGCACTTAAAAAAAAACATATGTAACGCTTGTGAATCGTCAGAGAAATTGCAAATATTTTTCATGGTCTGTCTGTTTAAGCCATAAAAACTTTATTTGACTTACATTCAGTTCGATTATTATTGGTATCGATATCGGATTAAAATTCAATATACTATGAATTTCTTAAATCCACATCGATCTATATAATTTACATCACTGATACGGCCGACTGGATATGATAATTTTGGTAACACGAGTATGCACGAGAGCGATGAAAGATTTAACGATTGCTTTGACAAAAGATATGAAAAGAGTGAATAATAAAAAAATATGATGCCAAAATTCGTATTAAATTGATGATCCGATTATTTACATTTTGTTGACGAAGAAATTGAACATAGCTGTTTTGAATGATTGACCAAAAAAATACTTTAATAGTATTTGATATTAGGTTGATCACGTTTTTAAGCACATTGAATTCGTAATGAATAAATCTCATAGAAATGGTCAAAAGAATAAAAATTAAATTGAAGTTTGCGAATAAGTTGATCAATATGTTTTTCATCCACTTTTCACTAAATTCACCACACTAGTAAAAGATTCCACATTCATTCCATAGATGTATTTTCTATGCATATATGCAGTCAGCAGTTGTAAGAATTATGTAAACAGAGAATTAAAGACTACTTTAAAAATAAAAGATGCTCAATTTCATTGTCAATCAGAATATTTTTTTAATCAATAATAAAACAAAAAAATATATTGTGAACTTTTTGGTTCCGACGTAAAAGGGCTGTATGCTGAAAAAATAAATAAACTGCACCAATGTACAAAATATGGCATGTTTGTGATAACGATAAGGTTTATCAGTTAGAATATGATAGCTATCACAAAAAACTGAATGAAGTTTTGTCTGAACAAATATAAGTCATTGTTTCCAAAGTCCTGAAGACGGTGTTATTTAAAAAACGTATTGTTAAATGTCAGAAAAAGGTGAAAATGAGCAGCGAAAATACTAATCAAATTTCCGGTGTGGAATTTAACCAAGTGGACCATGTACCAAATAGCGGCAAAGCCAGAGATCAACAAGATGCGATATTGGTGATTTTTTTTCTTTCAAATCATGCATCACTAAATTTTAACGTTTTTTCTTAATTTATGAATATGGCTGCAGCCAGTCTACTTGAATCCAAATAATTACGCATCCAAAAAAACTTTAGCACAAGGAATGCTCGATTTGGCATTGTTATCAGCAAATGCAGCACAGCTAACATACGTATTATTCAATTCGAAGCAAAACGAATTTTATACGCTGCTCCTGTGCATGATAATTGTTTCCATAGTTTTACAGGTGAAAGATTAAACTGAATTTAGAAGTTATCATAATGGTTTATTTTTTATTTCAGGTTCTGCAAGCAATAGTTTGTATTATTTTGGGTTTGATTTTCGATATTAATCAAGTCGATCATCAAAAATCTGCTGATATAATAAATAATGTTGCATTGAGCATTTCTGTTGTTGTTCTTGCAGTGAACGTAATCATATCTGCATTTGATATTCGAGCAATGACTGATAATAAGTAGATAGAACGCACATCAGTTTTTTTTCGTTTCATTTTAATATTTCTGGTGTATATGATTTTTATAAATTTTAATTTGATAAAATGTGTGTTTCTTGGCTATGTGTTTATTAAAATTGAAGGTTCTAATTTATTTTTAAAATAAAATTCATTAAGAATTTGTTGTAAATTTACGCTAATTACTTTTTTTTTATTTATTCGTTTTAGAAAAATGAATACATGATGTAGATTGTACATAGTATGTACTACATACTCCATGTACATGTGCCATAAATGGATACATTATAATCTAATTTATCATTGATTTAAAATATGGTGGAAGGAAAATCAGGAAAAAGTCAAAGTGTAAAAGTGTGAACAAAGTGTAATTTAAGTAGTAAAAACAAGACCTAAACACTGAACAATAAGACAGAATGAAAAATGGTGCGTAATAAAATTAGTTTTTACAATCGAATTACCCGAAATAAACTCCAGGTACATGAATTTGCATTTTAACTGAATAAACTGCCAATATTCGTTTTCTTCTTTTTTCAATTATTTCCATTTCTTTGTTAGAGTTTTTTTTGTGCAATTGGTTCAGACCTAGGAATTCTATGCAATGATCGAAGGTACGGTAAACAGGGAAATCTTTTTTGATTGCTTGAACATGGATCATTCATATTTTTTTATAGTTTTAGTTCTTATTCTTAGTTTGTTATTCACATATAGTTTATCCTTAATCACTTGGATATATGTTTTTCATAGTTGTTTCAGTTGACATATTTATGTGTTTCATAAACAACAACTGTACTGACTTTCGCTTTCGTTTTCTTACTTAGCTTTTCTACACTGGAAAATATGCGTCGGTTGCAATACCAGGAAAAAAAACACAACATTTTACTATTCATATTTATTTATCACTTTATTGACAATCTTCGGCTCGTTTGAACTTTAACAACAATGAATGTGTCTACTCATGACATTTTCTGGCGCTGCTCACATATACATGGTCTTGCATTAGTAACTCAGTAATAAAAACGCTCGTTCTTTATCAAAACTAAAATGCAGTACCATACACTTTTTATGATTTTTTATATTCGTCCACTTTTTTAAGGTTTTCTTTTTTTCAGCTGATAACATAGATTTTGTTATTTACGCCATTATTGTCCACGTTTTCCCACTTCACGCGACACCACTCAGAAAATAAAAAAAACAACAACAAGGAAAAGCATATCTTCTTCATGTATGAATGGTGTAGCTCTGGTCATAAAATGTGATGTTACGTTGACACAATTTTCTTCAACGAGAGAAAGAGAATGAACACAACAAATGCATATATTTTATGGATGGAACATTCCTCGCACTCCGCTCATTGCAAAATTTACGTTTCGATTTCATAACATAAACTATTGCATGCTCATTTCTTTATTTAAGTTTGTTAAATATATTCAGATTTTTTTCTCGGTAAGATAGAACAATATTTCACATCTGGTGCACGGTATGAAAGAAAAAGAACAGCCGATTTGAGCAATTACAGATACCAACCATTTAGACCATCCATTCATGTAATAGTATGACCAAAAATAAAACAACAAACCAATGTATCATACAAAAAGAGTGTATTACTTTTTAAGAGGTAATCATGGTGTACTCAGACTTATAGTTTTTTAGAAATAACGATGGAACCTGTTGATGATTTACTATGGAAATTATTAATTATGGTGTTTGTAGTTATAAAAATTACTTATTTAAATTAATTTTTTATTTGCACCAAATGCGATTTTCCAGATTACATTGCCATTTGTCAATAACCGTAAAATGTCTATTTGGTTGATCAACATTTATTTTGTATGGACATTTTTTTGATTATCCGTGATCTTTTTATATGTATAATTAAATTATATTTTTCAAAACTTTTGTTCGGAATGATTTTTTATTTTGGGCTTAATTTTGTTGAAACTTTGAGAGAATATTTTAATATGAAAAAAATGATTTCTACTAAGTTTCATCTTTTAATTCAGAGTAAACATATAGTATTTTGTATGATTTTGTTTCAGATACAGCATGCCATTGTTGCAATGTTTTTGGGTGAAACATGAATGAATTGGAGAAAATTAAAATATACAGTATGTTTCATTATAGAGAGAGGTTGATTTTTTATAATAAAACTCAAGAGTTTTACAAAATTATCTTATATACATTTTATTTAGTATCTAAGCTACGGCGCCAAAAATTAATATTTAATCCATTCTCCTTCTTTCTCGATCACACGGTCACATCTGTTGGGCATACTTTTGCTCAAATTTTCAGCATATTTGCGTTGAAAATTTTTCCACTGGCGTTGAATGAATGAACTGAGCTGCTTCAAATTGCGGTGTGTTTTACCACGAAGACTTGCCTTCATAATGGCCCAAACATTTTCGATCTGATTGCAATCGGGTGACTGTGGCGGCCAGTCCATTTGTTTTATTCTATTTTCCTCTTTCCAAGCGGTGCAGAGACGACTCTTGTGTTTTGGATCATTATCTTCTAGTAGAAGCCAATTCGAATTACCGTTGCCATAGAACTTTTTGGCGGTGGGTAACACTGTCGATGCATAAAGTTGGTTCATCCTCATGGCGTTTAGAATGCCCGTGAATATGGTCAACTTTCCAAAACCAGCTTCACAGAAGCAACCATAAACATGCACCTTTTTCGGATGCTTTACCGTGCGAACGATCACTCTCTTTTCGGCTCTAGACTAGGCATGGGTAGTGCTATTCACCAGCCAAAAGAATGACTCGTCAGTGTATATAACTTCGCTCCAATCTCTTGTTGAATTTTGCTTTGCCCAGTCAATGCGTTTTTCTTCTGGTTTTCTGTCAAAAGTGATTTCTTCATTGTACTGCGATAATGAACACCGGCAACATCCAATCTTTTCTTGAGTGTGGAGCGCGAGACCTCTATTTTAAGATGGCGTAGCCGTTCAACACCTTGGCTTAACGACATACCTGGATTTTCGTCGAACAAATTAACTATTCGCTTATCTTGCTTTGGCGAGGAGGCTCGGTTTGGCTTAAAATTGGGCTGATCGTTCAAAAAATTTTCGTGCTTATACTGCTGGATCCACTTTGTTACGAACTCTCTTGACTTTTTAATGTGTTTTGCGACCTTCACTATTGACCATTTTGGTCCTTTTGGATGTAAATGCAAAAACACCGCTTCAAAACGCTTATGAAAATATTCCGAATCCATATTTTCGTTGCACAACAAACACTGTAGTGATTTGAGAACTGTCAATGTTAATTGGCGCATTAGCTTAGGGTGCCATCTGGCGACACCAAAAATATTTTCAAGATATTTGAAACTTTTTGTGGTTAAATCAACCGGCCTCTATAATGAAACATACTGTATATATAAATATGGTAAATTAAAATATGCTGATTTATATAAACGCATACATATATGGCGGTGTGTAAAATTACAAACATTATTTCATATTCGTACAATGGAGGACACTTCGTGTCAAACTTGACAAGGGTCAAAGAATGAAGAAAAGAAAAGAAAACAAAATTTCAATAGCAAACGATTTAAGATATAATTTTGGTTTGAAATTTTAAGTGTTCAAGATCATACTCCATATATGAGGTTAAAAAAAGTCAATAGTGTATTGGTTTTAATAAATTTCAGAATAAGGATGTTTAACAAAATCTCTGACTATGTCTATATCTGTATGCAGTGCGAAATTTGTGCCTCAAAGGGTGCCTTTTCTGAGAAAAAAAAAACAAAAAGCAGAGAATCAAAACCTCTATCTTCTAAGAATTGCATTCAAACAGACAATTTCTAATGTCATTATTTGATGAGCGCTATTTATTTAATTTTTTGAAATTTCTTTTTAAGAAAAATACCCCCACCAGAGATCTTTCTTCACAAAAATTTGTTATCATATACATTTTATATTGGAACGAACACAGTTTTGAATATTATTTCAAGATCATGTAATCAAATTACTAAAAACTGTTTTGTGTGTTAGTATGTGTATAAGAGACATATACAGCGTAAAGTGGCTGGAATTAACGTTTATAATAAATGTAGGCTTTCTGATGTAAAAATAAAATTCTTTATTCTTCTGAGTTTACTTAAATGAAAATTGTTATTGTAAAAGTTAAAAACATTTAAAAGACTGAAATTCCTTTAATCGTTACGACACATTGAAATAATGCGAGACACTTTATTTTTCTGATGATTCTCAGAAAAAGAGTACTTTACTCAAATGTAAAAGTAAACTTTTATGTTTTGGATATTTCTTCCCTGTGTGAGGCAAACTGTGACCAAGGGGCTATGATATATAGGTTCTAATGCATGTAGGTTATGGAAATTTCAATCAATTATACATGAACAAATTTTAGTGAAAATTAAAAATTTCCAAAAAATCTGTTCAATACATAGTCCATCGAGACGCTGTTATATTACAGTTTATAATTTATTTATTATCTTAATACATAATTAATCGAAACTTGGAAACTTTTTTACTAATTGTGCTAAAAAATATTATAAATTGAATTCGAAAAAAAGTAGTTCTTTGAATTTTGAAGATTAAGTTCCAATTAACTGGTATGTAAGGATTTTATGAAAAGGTGAACATTATAAAAGATTTGAATAAATCGAAAAATTACGAACAATTTTCTTTATTTTGAGACATGCGAGCAGCAGCCTTGTCAGACTCTCACTTGTACATATTGAAATTCGAAATGAGAAATTTCACAGAAATCGGAACAGGTGGAATTTGTTGACTCAATTGGATTTTTGAAGATGTAAACTCTGTAAAAGTTTTGTAGAATATACAGATTTTTGTAGATGTATGAAAGTTTTCGTAGTGCAAAGATACAAATAATTTTGTACAACAAGTATAATAAATAATTTTCTTACTGTAGAGTATTTCGGTTGATTTTGTGATTAATGAATTTCGGAGTTGTCTCGCTTAACGAGGTTTCTGGTGGTCTTTTATGCCCCTATATGTTAAAACTTTTAGCCACAACAATGTTTGATTTTCTTTACTGACAAATGAAAATACAGTTAAAAATCATTATCATCTAAAAGTTATTAATCAGTGCGCGCATTCTTTTACAATTACTTATTGCTTCGCTTTTTACAAATCAAATATTTATAAAATAAAAATGTTTTATTCTTTTTGTACGAAGGAAGAAATATTTTTAAAAGCTGAATACGAATGAACGAATTGTTCGTTGACAGCTCTGTGTATGAACATGGCCTATATGCACTAGTGCACTTGCTTCTTCTTGTTGCCTTATCATCGCAGTCTGTGCTTATTTTCAATGCTCAGATATATTCACGGCTTGGAAGTTTTATAGATACGCACAATAAATGTAAATGCAATACAATCTTCACATCAATATAATCTGTATATGAGAGAATAAGACCGAACAACACAGACACACCGAGCATTGAATGCGATACCATTTTGCAACGTAACGAATAAACTGCTGCTGCTGCTGCTGCTGCTATATGCTGTATGCGCTTAGCGCGAAAGAATGTCGACTAAAACATCGAATCCAACTTTGAATGTTCTTCTCATGTTTTGTGTGTATGTACAATATATATATATATATTTCACAAAATTTGATACACAACCAAAAGCTGAGAGAAGAGAAAAACGTCATGAACACTACACGGGGGAAAAAGCGAAGTAAAATAAAACCCCATCTACTCAATGTGAGTGCATGGCTTATGGGAAGCACTTTCAGTTTTGCCATCGAGGCAGCTACACAAACAACCAAATAGAACATCTATCTGATATGCTAGCTAGAATGCTCGCACGAATGAAAAAGAGAAAAATTTATGAGAGAAAAAATTGCGAGCCTTACCAGAAGCAACGTGTGGTTCCCAAAAACAATGAACGTAGACTCACATCACTGTTGTGTTTTACTCTCGTCGTCGTCGTCGTCATCATCGTCTATTTTCCTTCAATAGTAGTTTAAGTCGTTACATACATCCATCCATTTTCCTATATATTCGAACATAACTATAAATATAACAGGCTGCATGCTATTTCAGATAAGCAGAAGAAAATTCATCCCACAAATAATCATAATTCGTGCACACGGTCGGATATCTACAGTCGGAACGGAAACTTGATGGTGCGAACGCGCCATAAAGTACCAAATTCATGAGAGAATTTTTCCATAAAATTGTTTTTAGAAAAACTCATCGATTTACACCGAAGCAATTGGTCGATTTACATGAAATTTACACCAAAAAATTGCTTTTTTTTTTCTTAACCAACTGAATTTTGAATGACTTAAATCGGACCACGCATTCGCCAAAAAAATCCAATGTAGTTTTATTGTCTCGATCTGGTTGCTTTGAATTTTATTGCTATCTTTTATGGGCCATCGACATTTTTCGTTCGTCATGAAAAATCGCATTTTTTGTGAATGCTAATGGATCGAGTGAAAATTACTATTGGTTATGGAGCGACAAAAGCGAATTGTGAAGGGAAGGATAGATGCACCGATGTGATGGCGCGATGGTGTGGTGGTGTGATTCAAGAGAGAATTTTGAGACGGACACGGTGTGCGACGCAGCAAATGAAGTAACGTATGAAAGTGATAGGCAAAACTGAAACTTAAAAAAGACGAAAAGAAAAT